CTGATTTTTGGGATTTTTGGTGGGATTTGGGATCCGAGTTTGTTGGGATTTTGGGATTCGGAATATCCCGATTTTTGGGATTTTTGGTGGGATTTGGGATCTGAGTTTGGTGGGATTTTGGGATTCGGAATATCCCGATTTGTGGGATTTTTGGTGGGATTTTGGGATTTGGACTCTCCTGATTTTTGGGATTTTTGGTGGGATTTGGGATCCGAGTTTTTTGGGATTTTGGGATTTGGACTCTCCCTATTTTTGGGATTTTTGGTGGGATTTTGGGATTTGGGATCTCCCGATTTTTGGGATTTTTGGTGGGATTTGGGATCTGAGTTTGGTGGGATTTTGGGATTCGGAATATCCCGATTTTTGGTGGGATTTTGGGATTCGGAATATCCCGATTTTCGGGATTTTTGGTGGGATTTGGGATCCGAGTTTGGTGGGATTTTGGGATTTGGAATATCCTGATTTTTGGGATTTTTGGTGGGATTTGGGGATTCAGGATCTCCTGATTTTTTGGGATTTTTGGTGGGATTTTGGGATTCGGGACTCTCCCAATTTTCGGGATTTTTGGTGGAATTTGGGATCTGAGTTTGTTGGGATTTTGGGATTCGGAATATCCCGATTTTTGGGATTTTTGGTGGGATTTGGGATCCGAGTTTGGTGGGATTTTGGGATTCGGGATCTCCTGATTTTTGGGATTTTTGGTGGAATTTGGGATCTGAGTTTGGTGGGATTTTGGGATTCGGAATATCCTGATTTTTGGGATTTTTGGTGGGATTTTGGGATTTGGACTCTCCCTATTTTTGGGATTTTTGGTGGGATTTGGGATCCGAGTTTGTTGGGATTTTGGGATTCAGAATATCCTGATTTTCGGGATTTTTGGTAGGATTTTGGGATTTGGGATCTCCTGATTTTTGGGATTTTTGGTGGGATTTGGGATCTGAGTTTGGTGGGATTTTGGGATTTGGAATATCCCGATTTTCAGGATTTTTGGTGGGATTTTGGCATTTGGAATATCCCGATTTTCAGGATTTTTGGTGGGATTTTGGGATTCGGAATATCCCGATTTTTGGGATTTTTGGTGGGATTTGGGATCCGAGTTTGTTGGGATTTTGGGATTTGGACTCTCCCTATTTTTGGGATTTTTGGTGGGATTTTGGGATTCAGGATCTCCCGATTTTTGGGATTTTTGGTGGGATTTGGGATCTGAGTTTGTTGGGATTTTGGGATTCAGAATATCTCGATTTTCGGGATTTTTGGTGGGATTTTGGGATTCGGGATATCCCGATTTTCGGGATTTTTGGTGGGATTTTGGGATTCGGGCTCTCCTGATTTTCGGGATTTTTTGGTGGGATTTGGGATCCGAGTTTGTTGGGATTTTGGGATTCAGAATATCCCGATTTTTGGTGGGATTTTGGGATTCGGAATATCCCAATTTTCAGGATTTTGGTGGGATTTTGGGATTGGGGCTCTCCCGATTTTGGGCCTGCTTTGTGTTTCCCTCCCGTTCCCGCCGTTCCCGACCTGCTCGGAGCAGACGGATCCGATGCCGGCCATGACGGGATTGATGGGAACGCCGCCGGGAACGCCGGGAACGCCGGGAACGCCGGATCCGCCTCCGGAGCCGCCGGGCCCGGCCATGGACACGGTGATGCTCATGTTGTTGTACATCCCCGGCGCCGCCGCGCCCGCCGGCCCGAACACGCTGCCGGAACGGGAAAATCCCTCCGATCCCAAATCCCCGGGATTTCGGGAATCGCCCCCATCCACCCACCCCCCTCAGCATTCCCGAAAAAAACAAAAAAAAACCCCAAAAAAATCCCGGAATTCCCAACGGGATCGCGGCGGTTCGGTTCCGTCTCGGTCCCCGTCTCAACGTTGGGATTTCCTTGGGTGATCCCAAGGATTTTCTGGGAATTTTTTTTCCCACTTTCCTGTTCCTTTCCCAGGGAATTCCCTGTGTTCCGCAAAGAATCGGGATTTTGGGAATTCCCGGATGGTTTGGTGGGAAGGGACCTTAAGCGGAAGCCTCCGGAATATTCCAGGATCTGATTTTTCCTTGGAAAAATTCCAAGGGTGAGGCGGCCACAGATTCTCTGGGAATTCCTTCCCAAATCCCTCCCATTTTTCCAGGGAATTCCCTCCATTCCCAGCCTGACATTGGATCCATCCCCATCCCAGCTCCTCATCGGGAAGGAATTTTGGGAATTCCCTGGGAATTTGGGACTCCAGGAAGTCTTTTTCTACCCCCAAATTCCGTAAAATTCCCTCGGGATGGATCCTGAGCATCCCGGATCCCAAAATCCCGGAATTCTTTGGGATGGAATCCACGGATCTTCAATCCCATCCCATTCCAATCCCAGTTCCAGGTGGATCCAACCTTTCCTTGGACATTCCCAGGGATTCTCTGGGAATTCCAGCCCGGCTGGGAATTCCTTCCCAAAATCCCACCCCAAGCTCCCTTTGCCAATGGCCAATCCCAATCCCAATGGCCAATCCCAATCTCCAATCCCAATGGCCAATCCCAATGGCCAATCCCATTCCCAATCCCAATCTCCAATCCCAATCTCCAATCCCAATCTCCAATCCCAATGGCCAATCCCAATGGCCAATCCCAATCTCCAATCCCAATCTCCAATCCCAATGGCCAATCCCAATGGTCAATCCCAATGGTCAATCCCAATCTCCAATCCCAATGGCCAATCCCAATCTCCAATCCCAATGGCCAATCCCAATCTCCAATCCCAATGGCCAATCCCAATCTCCAATCCCAATCTCCAATCCCAATGGCCAATCCCAATCTCCAATCCCAATCCCAATCCCAATGGCCAATCCCAATCCCAATCCCGCCGTCGCCGTTCCCGTCGCCGTTCCCTCACCCGTTATTCCCGACTCCGGCGGCCGGCCAGGCCTTCATCTCCGGCGTTTGGTAGGCGGGCGGTGCCGGCGGCGCCGGCGGCAGCTGTGGCGGCACCAGGGGCCCGCCGGGGCCCGGCGCGAATCCCACCGGATCCGCCGCGCCTGCCGAGCCGGCGCCGCGTCAGCGCCGGGAACGGCACCGAGCCGGCACCGGGAACGGCACCGGGAACGGCTCCGCGTCGGCACCGGGAACGGCACCGAGCCGGCACCGGGAACGGCGCCAGGAACGGCACCGGGAACGGCACCGAGCCGGCACCGGGAACGGCGCCGAGCCGGCACCGGGAACGGCACCGAGCCGGCACCGCGTCGGCGCCGCGTTCCCGATTCCCGGCTTTCCACCCGCCCAACCCATCCCGGGGATTTCCAACGGGAGTTTGGAGCTCTTGGCGTGCGTGGGAGGGGAGGAATTCCCAAAAAATTCCCCCAAGACCCCAAATATTCCGAATGTCCCGAACACCCTGAATGTCCCAAATAATCACAATTATCCCAAATATCCCAAATGTCCCAAATATCCTGAATATCCCAAATATCCCGAATATCCCAAATGTCCCAAACAGCCCAAACACCCCAAATATCCCGAACACCCCAAATATCCTAAATCTCCCAAATACCCCAAACACCCCAAATATCCCAAATAACCCAAACACCCCAAATATCCCAAACGTCCCGAATACCCCAAATATTCCAAATATCCCAAATGTCCCAAACAGCCCAAATATCCCAAATCTCCCAAATATCCCAAATGTCCCAAACACCCCAAACACCCCAAATACCCCAAACACCCAAACACCCCAAATATCCCAAACGTCCCGAATACCCCAAATATCCCATATGTCCCAAACACCCCAAACACCCCAAATATCCCAAATGTCCCAAACAGCCCAAACACCCCAAATATCCCAAATCTCCCAAACAGCCCAAACACCCCAAATATCCCAAATCTCCCAAACAGCCCAAACACCCCAAATATCCCAAATCTCCCAAATATCCCAAACACCCCAAATATCCCAAATCTCCCAAACAGCCCAAACACCCCAAATCTCCCAAACACCCCAAATATCCCAAATGTCCCAAATATCCCAAACACCCCGAATCACCCAAACACCCCAAATCACCCAAACACCCCAAATCCCCCCAAATCCCCCCAAAATCCGTACCTGCCCCGGGGTACTGGAAGAGGCCCGGCTGCGCGGCGGCGCCGGCTCCGAAGGCGGCTCCGGGCACCCCTCGGCCGCCGCGGCCGCCCGGCGCCGCCGCCTCGCCGAAGCCGAATCCGTACGGGAAGGGCTGGGCCGGGCTCGGGGGCGGCCGGGCCGGGCCGGCCACGGGGATTTGGGCGGAATTCCCGAAATTTTGGTGCTGCTGCTGGTGCTGGTGGTGGCGCAGGAGCAGCGCGCGCTGCTGCAGCAGCTGCCGCTGCCGGTGCTGCTGGCTGTAGAGCTCCCGCTGCCGCTGCGCCAGCATCTGCGCGTTCAGCGGCGCCTGCCGGCCCGGAAAAACCCACAGTTCAGCCCGAAAAATCGCCCCGAAATTCCTCCCAAATAGCGTCCCGAAAAGCCCGAAATTCCTCCCAAAAACTGTCCCGAAAAGGCCGAAATTCCTCCCAAAAACCGTCCCGAAAAGGCCGAAATTCCTCCCAAATAGCGTCCCGAAAAGGCCAAAATTACTCCCAAAAACTGTCCCGAAAAGCCCGAAATTCAGCCCAAAAACCGTCCTGAAAAGGCCAAAATTCCTCCCAAAAACCGTCCCGAAAAGCCCGAAATTCCTCCCAAAAACCATCCTGAAAAGGCCGAAATTCCTCCCAAATAGCGTCCCGAAAAGGCCGAAATTACTCCCAAAAACCGTCCCGAAAAGCCCGAAATTCAGCCCAAAAACCATCCTGAAAAGCCCAAAATTCAGCCCAAAAAAATCGTCCCAAAATTCCTCCTAAATAGCGTCCCGAAAAGGCCAAAATTCCTCCCAAAAACTGTCCGGAAAAGCCCGAAATTCAGCCCCAAAAAGCCCAAAAACGCATCCCAAAAAGCCCAAAATTCCTCCCAAAAACCATCCTGAAAAGCCTGAAATTCAGCCCGAAAAATCGCCCCGAAATTCCTCCCAAATAGTGTCCCGAAAAGGCCGAAATTCCTCCCAAATAGCGTCCCGAAAAGCCCGAAATTCCTCCCAAATAGTGTCCCGANCCGAAAAGGCCGAAATTCCTCCCAAATAGCGTCCCGAAAAGCCCGAAATTCCTCCCAAATAGTGTCCCGAAAAGGCCGAAATTCCTCCCAAATAGTGTCCCGAAAAGCCCGAAATTCAGCCCAAAAAAATCGTCCCAAAATTCCTCCCAAATAGCGTCCTGAAAAGGCCGAAATTCCTCCCAAAAACCGTCCCGAAAAGGCTGAAATTCCTCCCAAATAGCGTCCCGAAAAGGCCGAAATTCCTCCCAAATAGCGTCCCGAAAAGGCCGAAATTCCTCCCAAATAGCGTCCCGAAAAGGCCGAAATTCCTCCCAAAAACCGTCCTGAAAAGCCCGAAATTCAGCCCGAAAAATTGCCCCGAAATTCCTCCCAAATAGCATCCCAAAAAGGCTGAAATTCAGCCCCGAAAATCCCAAAAAAGCGTCCCGAAAATTCTGAAATTCCTCCCAAAAACCGTCCCGAAAAGCCCGAAATTCAGCCCCGAAAATCCCAAAAAAGCATCCCGAAAATTCCAAAGTTCATCCCAAAAACCATCCTGAAAAGGCCGAAATTCCTCCCAAAAACCGTCCTGAAAAGCCCGAAATTCAGCCCGAAAAATCGCCCCAAAATTCCTCCCAAATAGCGTCCCGAAAAGGCCGAAATTCCTCCCAAAAACCGTCCCGAAAAGGCCGAAATTCAGCCCCAAAAATCCCAAAAACGCATCCCAAAAAGCCCAAAATTCCTCCCAAATAGCGTCCCGAAAAGGCCGAAATTCCTCCCAAAAACCGTCCGGAAAAGCCCGAAATTCCTCCCAAATAGCGTCCCGAAAAGGCCGAAATTCCTCCCAAAAACCATCCGGAAAAGCCCGAAATTCAGCCCTGAAAATCCCAAAAAAGCATCCCGAAAATTCCAAAGTTCATCCCAAAAACCGTCTGGAAAAGCCCGAAATTCAGCCCAAAAAAATCGTCCCAAAATTCCTCCCAAAAACCGTCCGGAAAAGCCCAAAATTCAGCCCCGAATTCCCAAAAAAGCGTCCCAAAAATTCCAAAGTTCATCCCAAAAACCATCCTGAAAATCCCAAAATTCAACCCCGAAAACTTACCCCAAAATTCTTCCCCCAAACCGTCCCGAAAATCCGAAAATTCAGCCCCCAAAGAAAAAAAACTTTCCCAAAAATCCCAAAATTCAACCCCCAAAAAATTACCCCAAAATTCCTCCCAAAAATCATCCCAAAAATCCCGAAATTCAGCCCTGAAAAAACATCCCAAAATTTTTCCCAAAAATTGTCCCAAACATCCCGAAGTTCAGCCCCAAAAAATCATCCCAAAATTCCTCCCAAAAACCATCCCGAAAATCCCAAAATTCAGCCCAAAAAAATCATCCCAAAAATCCTGAAATTCAACCCCGAATTCCCAAAAAAGCGTCCCGAAAATCCCGAAATTCAACCCCAAAAAATTACCACAAAATTCCTCCCAAAAAAAATCACCCAAAAAAATCATCCCAAAAAATAATCCCAAAAAATCATCCCCAAAAAAATCCTATATTCATCTCAAAAATCATTCTGATATTCATCATAGAAAGTCATCCCGAAAATCCCAAAATTCCTCCCAAAAACCATCCCGAAAATCCCAAAATTCAGCCCAAAAATCATCCAGAAATATCAACAAAAAACCACCCCAAAATTCCAAAAAAATCACCCCAAAAATAATCCCAAAAAGTCATTCCAAAAAATCAAATATTCATCCCAAACCCCAAACCCCAAATCCCAAAAATCCCAAACCCCAAAAATCCCAAACCCCAAAATTCCCAAATCCCAAAATTCCCAAACCCCAATTCCCAAACCCCAAACCCCAAAATTCCCAAACCCCAAACCCCAAACCCCAAAATTCCCAAATCCCAAATCCCAAACCCCAAAATTCCCAAACCCCAAACCCCAAATCCCAAACCCCAAATCCCAAAAAACCCCAAATGTCCCCAAATTCCCCCAAATTCCCCCAATTCCCCAAATTCCCCCAAATTCCCCCAACCCCCCCCAAATT